TACCAGTAACATCTGTCTAAACGCTGTAAAGTACCTCATGAGCCATGTGAGAGTTACTCATCTGAGAAATTTTGACCCGACTCCAGAAATTAAATTGGGATATGCTGCTGCACTATGAGCCTATTCTCATGACCAAGACTGAATTGATTACTCAAGGTCATTTTCATTCGGATTCTTTTATTGAAAAAAAAGAAATGTTCTGATAAGAATGTATACTCAACCGGTTAAGGATTAGTGAAGGATCTGTATTTCTATAAATCTACTTGAAGATGCTGCTGCACTATGACCTATTCTCATGACCAAGACTGAATTGATTACTCAAGGTCATTTTCATTCGGATTCTTTTATTGAAAAAAAGAAATGTTCTGAAGAATGTATACTCAACCGGTTAAGGATTAGTGAGGATGTATTTCTAAATCTACTTGAAGATATGAAAAGAATTGATGGAAGTTTCATTTCTGCAATTCTGTGACATGAATGAATTTCGAGGACAAAATTATTTTAAGGAGGGGAGAATTGTCACACCCTAATATGGTGTTAGATTTCTTTCAATTTAAATATGTGAAATAATATGAAGTTGGTTTTCAATTAATTATTTTATCATCATTATATTATTAAACAAATTGAGAATGATATAGTAGGTAGAAGTGGACAAATTGTTGGGTTGGCATTCCATGATTGAAAAAAATATTATACAAAATCAAACATGAAGACAAAAGTATGTGGAATCTGACAAAGAAAGCACCAAATGAGTGAAGACTTTGTATCATATACTGTAGCTTGTTGTGTTTAATAATCTAAGGGTAAAAGGGCATGTAAAGAGGAAAAATGATAAAGAAACCAACCAATAATAATGGAACAGATAAATCCAAGCAAGCTATGAGTGATGAATTTGTTTATTATTATTACTTTTATAATATGGAAAAATGGACCAGTGAGGGAAATCAATCAACCACTCCTTGCCTATTCGATATCTTCTTTCTGTACAAATAAAATGGCTTCAACCGAGACGTTAGTTGCAGGCAATCAATACCTCTCGGCTACAAGATTTGGTGCCAGGTTGCTTGGTGTATTGGAAATGGGATGGTACAATCTTTTACATGCACGTGTATTAACTCCATCAAACATGAGAAAACTAAAGTTGGCTTCTTAAATCGTTAAGCAACTTCGAAGGTTTCATCGAGTGGAAATTCCAGGTTCTAAAGAATCTCAACTATGATTGACCTCTTCAAATTCTTTGAGAAAGGAATATAGGTTCTTGGATGGGACGAGCAACAGGCACGTTTAATTTTGATGGAGAAGATGATGAATTTTTGCAGAACATGAGTTCTCCGAGACTGAGCAATTTATTTGAAAAGAAAGCCGATGCTAACTGGGATAGAAGAAATATGTTAATCCTATATCATGAAACATGCATCAGAAAAGGAAGCTATGGAGGGTTTCTAGCCAACGTCAATCTGTCGTAGCTAAGTCTGCCGCCCTTGGAGCTTCCTCAATTCAGATCGGTCAAGGGTCCAAACGATGCATCAATCACCAGAAGAATAAAAAAAAATAGAAATTGTGAAGGTTGCGTGAAATAGAGAAGTGGTTTCATAATTACATTTGAAAATCACGTGTGTGTGGGGTGTTGAGATAGTAAGATGGACAAATCATAGTTTCAACCCTCTATGTTTGGTAAGGTTCTAACTTGTCCATCAGTTTTAATAAAATTTCAACCAATTTATGATAGTTTAAATTAATTCAATCTAATACATGATTTTAGTTTTTATATATTTTAACGACTATGAAAGTTTTAGTTTTATCATTTGGTTCCCGATCTATTAAATTAGTTTCTATTAATCATTTTTTTATGGAGGGGAATATATTGGATTCAAGTTTGCGTATTTGATGGTCCGGGTTCGTGAGAGAAAATTGGAATCTCGACCTTGTACCTCCCGATCCATCCGTATGCTTTGCTATGTATTCGAGACATTATGGACCGTGGAATTAAAGTTCGAGAACAAGCGAATGGAGTTTAAATGGTCGATCAGAATGACACGGAAATTGAGGTAATACTTTACTACCTCTTTATGCTTTATGGAACATGTTGATATTGGTAAATGCATGAATAAGATAACGTTGGTCACTTTTGTGGAGTTGAATAATTTATTCACTCGATATGAATGTGGTAGAAATTCCGTAACTGAATACGGATCGAATGACTAATATAAGAGATTGAGGAATTGTTAGAATTAAATTACAAGTTTGTGATAAGTGATAAAGAAATCAGCCCTGGATTTGTAACTTATATTTTATATCATCAAAGGTTAAATGTTAAAGGTACTTATATGAAATTATGAGAATATTTCGATTAGTTAAATGTTAAAGGTACTTATGAGAAATTATGAGAATATTTCGATTAGGTAAAATTACGAAATTACCCTTATGTTGGAAATGACAAGAATTGTCCCTGAAGTGGATTAGTAAATCTGAAAAGACATATTGATCTGATAAATTTATTGATGTGCATAAGAAATGTGAATGTTCGAGGAAACAACTAACCATAGGATCTTTAAATTATAAGTATGCTCGTTAAGAGTTAATACCGAATCATCTGGTTAAGAAATTACGAAAATGCCCTTGAAAGGTAAAAATAGCTCGAGTTAACCCTGAATGAGAAAGTTCTTGGAGGATTTGTACTTAACTCAATGAATTACGTATTTAATTGTTAAGATCCTGTCTTTGTACATAAAATTTCTGATAACCTATTGGTAACATCTGAGAAGACAATCGATCTGAAAATCTTCGAGTTAAATAAATTATCGAGGGTGCTCTTTTGTAAGAATTATTTGAAAGGTCTGAATAAATGATAAGTTGTAATTAAATAATAAGACAGAATTGAATGAAATAATTGAAATACACCGGATCTGTAAAATGACCAGAATACCCCTGTAATGAAAAAGACTCTAGAATATTACCAAGCTCAGGAATGATTGGATATCCTCGAGCTCTGAAAATATGGAATAAAAATGGGCACCAGAATGACCAAAACCCTTATGACCTAAAATTAGTAGAAGTGTTGGATTAATTAAGGAATCCAAATAAACATGGATATGGTACTGCTCTTAAAAGTTATGGATCACATATTAAGCCGAACAATCAATGCTAGTGTATATGTCAGTACCTGAAATGTATAAATGTTACTTGAATGCGTGTTCGTCTTCTCAAGTGTGGTTCAATGATAATTTTAAAAGTACTCAGCTCAACTCAACTCTAGGTCGCATTCGATAATAAGAAATGAATATTTGTTAGACAAATCAACCACGAAGACTAAATTAAATTAAACGGTAGTACAATATATATATCAAATTCAGAATCGTTTGGATTATCTGGAAAACTCTGAAGTAATCGGGATAGACTTGACTAATAAACAAACTGAGTAACCTCAATGACTGAGGAACCTCAATGACTGAGGATTAATAGGTGATTGATGAGTTTGGGAACACTGTGAACTTACATGATGAATTATCTTTATGGGTCATAAAACATGAATCAGTACGTATGTATTTCCTGATATCGTTGAAATATGGAAATGAAATAAAGACTATTGGAAGATCTATTCAGCGATGATTACGAGATGATTTATGACAAGAATTTTGTTATTAAAGAGTAAATACTCTGAAAAGGCAGTAAATTGACGGGTCAACATGCATTAGTTCAGAGAGCTTGTTCAGTTCGAATTGTTCGTAAACCGATCGATTAACATGGATTGTAAATGTCTTGAAGCTTCGTTTCTCCTTTATTAGCTCAATCACTCGGGCATTCTGGAACTCTTTCCTGATGCACATGAATCATAGTGGAATTCTAAAGTATCAACTTTAAATGTGATTAGATCGGTAATAATCGATTCTCTCCAATAGGACCTTGTTCTTAGAATCCGATCAATTGCACGAGCTTCATGTTATCCTTACTGATAATTACAAAATGCCTCTGAAAAATACTTGGATCCTCTAGTGTGTTTCCTAATTATTATTGAACTGTTTTATTGGTTTTAATATGAGGTACACTGAGTTCTTTGGTTACTGTTTTATTGATGCACCAATTAATGTGATGATTTATGGAATTTGTGTCAGGTGCATTGAACTTTTGGATTGAGTTACAATGTATAGCTCTGATCAAGCTAATAAACAGAATGACCTAATGTGACTCTTGGGCCCCAAGATACATTAGGTTGGCCCCTTGCTGCGTGCTTAGGGTAAGCTATATGGACTTGGACTTATGGGCTTAAGGATACAAGCTCTAAGCTATCATTAGGTTGGTTTTTTTTTGTTGTGTGCTTAGAGTAAGTATATGAAAATAGTTTGAAAATTATTACTGATGGTGTACAAGAAAAGAGTTTAAACTATGATTTTCAAAAGTTAAACTCTTTTATGAATTTATGAGATTTACTGGACTATGATTTGTTTATTGTACATATTATGATTTTATTGTATTGTTTGAACACACTAGACATCCCATTCGATATCCTAAAAACGTGATACTATGAATGCTTCCTATGAACTGAGATATTCATGGATTCTATTCGATGAACTACCAGTGGAACCTCAGATTATTCTGAAAATTTGTATACGTCTGATTCAATAAGAAAATTATGACTTCCATTTATCTGCATGTCCTTTAGCATCATCAGGTAGTTCTGTATTACTGAGCTTTCCGAAGCTCACTCTATTACTCATCATTGCAGGTTAAAAGAATTGTATAAGTGTAGTTATCGATAATAATAAGAGAGTTCTTCCGGCGTTGCTTACAGAGTATGGTACATGTGATTAGGGGGCATGTAATTGTATTTTGTTTTATATACGAGTATGAAAACATGTTTTATTTCCGAACAATGATAAATCAATTTGTTAGTTATATGTTTTAATAAAAGTTTTAAATTTTCTGAGATTTTTATAGTGGGTCACTCCGGTGGCCCTAATGTGATACTCTAGATCGGATCGTATTATCTACATCGGTTTGAGGGGTTACAGATTTCGCCTTCGGTTTCCACCAGTTAAACACCAACCAAAACCTCTTCTTGCTCGCCATTTGGTACGACAAAATCCCAGAAAAAAACTCTAGTTTGGTACGCCAATGGCGACAACCCTGCACCCCGTGGATCGAAATTACAACTTTACGCTGATAAAGGGCTTGTACTTACTTCCCCCCCAAGGTGAACAGCTATGGAGTTCAGGGATCAGAGATGGAGCTCTTGTTAATGGCGGTTTAATGGATGATAATGGGAATTTCATGGTTTTAGGAAGCAATTCCACGCTTTGGGAAAGCTTTAAATTTCCTGTTGATACTATTTTGCCGACGCAGATTTTGGATAAAGGGATGGTGGTTTCAGCTAAGCAATCGGAGACCAGTTTTTCCATTGGGAGATATATATTGGTGTTTCAATGTGATGGTAATCTTGTTTCAACGACAATAAACTTGCTTAGTGATCATCTTAATGAGCCTTACTATTCAACTGGTACGGCTGCTGGTGTTTCATCGAGTCCTGGTGTCCAGTTTGTTTTCAATGAATCAGGGTACTTTTTGGTTTCCCGAGAAAATGGAGAAATTTACCTTTTGACACAGAGAATAACAGCCTCGGCTAAAGATTTTTATTTCCGAGCAACTATTGGTTTCGACGGCGTTTTTGCGCATTATTTGCATCCGAAATCGGCTTCGAATGACAGTGATGCGAAGTGGACTAGTGTCTGGTTCGTGCCGGATAATATCTACTCGGCGAGTTTGGTCAGTGCGAGTAGTGGTGTGTGTGGTTTCAGTAGTATTTGCAGTCTTGGTGGCGGCGGAAGGCCTACATTTGCGTGTCCGAAGGGATATACATTAATCAATCTGAATGACGAATACAGTGACTGTAAGCCGAATTCGACTCTCAGCTGTGGTGATGAACCATCAGGAGTACCTGTTGAAGACTTGTATGACTTTGAAGAGCTTATAAACGTGGACTGGCCATTAGCTGATTATGCACTCTTGGAGCCTTTTACTGAAAATCAATGTCGAAATTCTTGCTTGCATGATTGTATGTGCTCCGTAGCGATCTTCAGACTTGGTGATAAGTGTTGGAAGAAGAAGCTGCCATTGTCGAACGGACGAGTCGATCCTGGTCTTAACGGAGGAAAGGCTCTTCTCAAAGTGCGGAAAGACCCTTATATTCCATGTCAAGGAAATAAGAACAAGAGAGAACTTTGATCTTTGCATTTTCAGGACTTTTAGGTAGCTTTGTATTCATCAACGGCATTTTGATTGCTGCAATTTGTGTCGGATTTTACTTGATCAACCGAAAGAAACTCGAAACATTGCCCTCAATTGAAGGTGTTTTTGAAACGAATTTGCGTTGCTTTACTTACAAAGAGCTTGTTCATGCCACAAGTGAGTTCAAAGAAGAGTTGTGAAGGGGTGCATTTGGGGTTGTTTACAAAGGGTCACTGCAATTTCAAACAAGTTCTACAATTCAAGTTGCAGTGAAACGGTTGAACACTACGGTGCGCGATAGCGAGAAGGAATTCAAGGCCGAAGTGAACGTAATTGGCCGTACTCATCACAAGAACCTCGTTCGATTGCTTGGATTCTGCGACAAATGAGATCATAAGTTATTGGTTTATGAGTATTTGAGCAATGGCACATTAGCAAGCTTCCTGTTCGGTGACCCGAAACCGAGTTGGAACCAGAGGGCTCAAATTGCTTTCGGGATCGCAAGGGGACTCCAATATCTACACGAAGAATGCAGCACACAGATTATTCATTGTGACATAAAGCCCCAGAACATCCTGCTAGACGAGCAGAACAATGCAAGAATTGCAGATTTCGGATTGGCAAAGCTTTTGTTGTTGAATCAGAGCCATACCAATACCGCCATCCGAGGCACGAAAGGATATGTTGCTCCAGAATGGTTTCGGAACCTCCCGGTAACCGTAAAAGTCGATGTTTATAGCTTCGGACTGCTGTTTCTAGAAATCATATGTTGCAGAAGAAACGTAGACATGGATAGCAGCATAAAAGAGACGACTATATTAACGGAATGGGCTTACGACTGCTACTGCCATGGCGCATTCGACAAACTGGTCCGGAATGAGGCCGACACCATGAACAACATAGGAACGGTCTAGAGGTTCGTGCAAGTTGCCATCTGGTGCATCCAAGAAGACCCTGCACTGAGACCTACCATGAAAATGGTCACACGGATGCTTGAAGGAGTTCTAGAAGTGCCAATTCCGCCATGTCCATGTCCATGTCCATGTCCGTATACTATAACTGTTTGAAACGCTGGTTTTTTATTTATGGATTATTATATATTTCGGTTTATTTGATAATCTCTCGTCGGTTTGCTCGATTGGTTATATTCAAACCGAATAAATAAATAAAATCTAAACTAATATATATACCGATGTCAAATCCAAATACCTAATTAGAGATCGCATGCGTAGGCTTTTTTTTTGGTCGATTGAACTCGAATATTATACTTCGTCCGCCTGTCATCAGGGCAGAACTAAAATCAAATATCGAAGGATTAAATTGTTATATATAAAAAAGAAAACTACTCTTTTAAATATTTAAATTTAAAAATTAGGAAAAATAAAGTTTTTATGAAACTAATATTTAAATTTAAAAGGATTAAATCAAAAGCCCTTAATAGATTCATCCATGCATGTCTTTAGATCTGTTCCAATCAAAGATTTAGAGAGACTCCATTCGATTTAAATTCGATGATTTTTAAGTAAAAATACGCACCTAACCCAATACACACATATATAAAAAATCTATTATTTTTATTCGTTAAAATAGAAACTTAATTGAAAAAATAATTATCTCTGAATATATCAAAGATAATTCTTGACTCAAATCAAAGAATTTTATTTTAAACTCGACTCGAACTTATCCTTAAAAATTTAATCTGAACCTGAATTTATTTTTAAAAAATTAAACCTGAATCTCAAACAAATATCTGTACAAGACACCGATGTTATATATATCCCAACCTTATTAAACTCAAAATATAAATCAAATTCGAAATTTTAAATTGGAAGAAAAATATACAAATTTATTGTTTGGGATTCATATTCATACACTTATTGTATTTAAAAAATATATATTCATACACTTATATATGTCTAGAAGGTTTATATACTCTTTTACATCTCTCTTATAATAATATCGTTAATTATAATCTTTTTTTCTCTATAATGTAATGTAATATAATAATAATTTTAATTTCAAAATTTAAAATAATTAATTTATCATAAACAATAACTTTATATTGAATATTATTATTATTTAATCTTATTTTACTCGTTCCTTTTTTATATAACATCATATCGTTATCATGGCCAGAATTATGCTCTCTACTCCCAATATTCAAGCAATTGCATAAAAAAACAATTGGTTGAAACATGGAATAAACTCTAGAGCAAGAAAAATGGTGGTTTAAGCTTAACAAATAGCATAACCCTTAGCTAAATAGCTGCCTATTCCTTCAACCTCTCTATCAATTCATCTCTTTCTTTTTCAGCAATTATTCCTTCTGTTTTCTTCATTAATCCTGTTTTTTTTTGGCGTTGGGTTTTGTCATTTTCAGTCCAAAATCCATAACCCAGCCATAATTATCAATCTCATATCTCTATATCGACCCCTTCTTAGCTGTGGAACTTCCTTTTTTTAAGTAAAGGGAATCGAGATAAGAGAAACAAGCGAATTTCCCCACATGGATTCTCAGGTTATGGTGGCGCTTGCTCTTTCTCTCGTTGGTGGATTCAGTACTTCTCTAGGTCAGTTTACAGTTTTCTTCTTCATCTATATTCCTCCATCCCCTATTTTTATAAGCTGTTTCTTTATCAGTAAAACCTTAATTGTTTCATTTTTTTTAATGTATGTGGTTCTGGGTACTTTTGAGTGTGTTTGGTTGTTTTCTTTTCCTGCTTGTTTATGGGTAAAATTTGTTCCATGTGAGATAATCTTCAATTTTTGAAGTGTATTTGTCACAGCTAAAGTTATCTAATGCTTGTTTCTTGGATTTTACCTATACAAAATGTAATGGACTTGTGCTAAAGTTCCAATCCTTCGAAATCGTAATATGAATTACCATTGTTGGCATTTGGTAAAAACATGGTCATTGTGGGTTTATCGTTTAACAATAAAATTTCATGCTAAGAAGAATTTCCAATTTTAATAGTAATTTATATAAAGTTTTAATTCCCAACCAAGTTAAGACATGGTTTTATTTTATTTACTCGGGCTTATGTGCGAGTGTTGGATACAAATCCGGAGTACCATTGCTTTTTATGTTATATTTTCATAGAGATTCCGAAAGCGACATTTACTGGTCTTGGTGTTATACGACGAGAAAGAATGTTAGAGACCATAAACCCTGTTTATTGCAGGGAACCCTTGCTTTCTTGTGTTAAATGGATATTGGAAATAGATAACTGATTGTGGTTACACGTGACATTAACTTCTAGCCTTTGTAGTTAGTTGCCTGTTGAGATTAAAAGCCTCTGATAACGTATTGGAAACTAGGTGGCTTGTTGTGCTCAACTGCTGCTTTTGGTTAGAAAGTATGGGAATATTTTTTGCTTCAAATAGTTATGCAGAAAGCACACCATTGCATCTCTGGTACCCCATCTATCACCACCAGTTTCACTAATGGTTTTGATTTTATCGTTGATGGTAGTCCTAAATTGCTTATTGTTGTGTATTTGGTCTCGAATTTGTTTAGTTTACACCATAGTGATGTTGTACTGAAAAGTTTTGTAGATGAATTGAACACTTAAAGCACAAAACTATATGTTATTCTCTTGAAATGTATTGCATCTTCTTTTTTCTTTTTCCCCATTTTTTCCCTTTTCTTCATTACTTATTTGTTCATTTACATACAATAAACATTATGCAACTATTTCCGAAAAAGGTTTTGCAATTTATTCTAATGGCTTGTCTTTCCGTTTGGAACAGGTGCCCTTTTCGTAATTCTTAGTCAAGCTCCCAATTTGAAAATGCTTGGGCTTTTACAGGTAATGCTACAAGTTCTGATCTCAAAGAAGAAAGATGAATCTTCATCCAAATATCAGTTACTTAGTGACATTTTCCTAATGGGTATTAATGCTAAAATTTCCAATGTTAAATTTCAAGGGTTGAATTCTTTTAGTACTAACTTTTGCATGATGCTAACAATTAAATATTGAATGGATTTATTTCTATTTTATTTTCTTCAAAATTGATTGATGCTCTTTTTAAAGATTTTATGATTAACAAGATACTTTTACTATCATAGGATAGTGTAGTGAAAGATTAAAAGTTCTGAATACATTAATTTTGTCCTAGCTATGTATCATTTTCAATAAATTAAGTGATTTCTGAAATAACTTAACCAAACTCACTGAGGGGGGTAAAACTCATCTTGTTTAGCAAAGAATTAGATTTTAAAAAGGATAGTAGCCATGAATATTTCTTGGTGTGGTTTTTATTTGTTTAGCTGCCTTTTTCCTTCCCGTTTGTCTTTGTTAGCTTTATTTTCTAAAAGTTAATAAAAAGTTGTCCAGTTTATGTTTATTTAATCCAAGGATGATTGGTGACATTTTAAAGAAATAGATAGATTATATTCTGATATCGTCTAATGCCCTGGTGTCTCTTTCATGCAGGGTTTTGCTGCAGGTCTAATGTTGAGCATATCGTTCCTTGATTTAGCTCATAATGCTATGAACTCGATTGGGTTCTTGAAAGGAAACCTCTGGGTTAGCTATATCTTACCAGTTTCATTCTGATTGTCATGCACGACCTTTCTAGTTCATGATTCATTTATGTTTTCTCGGTATCTAATATTTCTTTCTGCAACAATGCAGTTTTTTGCTGGTGTTATCTTCTTTGCTGTGGTTGCCAATTTTATACCCGAGCCAACTCTACCTCACAGTTCTGAGGTTAAAGGCAAAAAGGTTTGGATGCTTTTTATTTGTTATCTGACTGAATGAGTGTTCAAATTTTTTTTAACGCAATGCATCTTTATCTAAACCAAAAAATATCAAAATATTCATTGACTGTTTGATAATGCATTGGAGAGCAGAGAAGTGGTGATGAAGGGGGCAAAGATGTGATGAAAAAGCATCGACGTCAGGTTTTTTTTAGTGGAATTATTACAGCAATAGGTAAAGCTGTCTTGTAGTAGAATTTGGTTCTAATTTTTAGGTCATCTGATTTGAACTTTTTGGAAAATTTTAGTATGTTTGAATATATGGTTTTAACTCTTTGCAAAAAAAAAAAGGAACAAGCTTGGGTTACCAGTTTGAATGACTGAATTTTTCTTTAATGAATGGCAGGCATAAGCTTGCATAATTTTCCGGAGGGAATGGCAGTTTTCCTTGGATCCATGAAGGTGGGCAGTCCCAACCTGCATTATCATGAAAACGATCATTGTTTTCAAATAGTTGTGAACGATGATTGTTTTCATAATAATGCACCTTTATTATCTGATGATTTTTCAATGTTCAAGATTATTGATGTGCCGAGTATGATGATTGAACAATTCTTTATTTTAGATTTCATTTATAGCAATTAAGAACAACTATTCTTTCACTCCCTCCCTTTCTCTTTGGGAGTGGGATAGGTTCTTAAGCCTATAAAGCCTCGGAACTTAAATTTCTTACTTATTCCCACAATATTTTATACTTATGCTAATGAATCTATTTTTCTTGCCTAATGGTTGTCATATAGGGCCTTCGTGTTGGTCTTAATTTAGCTTTGGCCATTGCTTTGCACAACATCCCAGAGGTACATATTCTTTTTTCCGCTAATTTTGAAGCCGACCTTGAAAGCAACCCACTTACTGTTCGGCTCACAGTTTAACTAGTTCAAAATAACCAAAATAAATTGTTTTCTCATAATATATATATATATATATATCATATTTAGTATTTTATGATAACAATGAGCATTTTGGTTCATTCATGATTGTATTATGACCGACTTATCAACTACCAAAGCGAAGTTTATATCCCATAACTGATAGATAAATATACAAACTTAGTAAAGTATTGTGTTTCTTAAAACTTTGTGACCATTTTATAGGGTGTTGCTGTCGCCCTTCCGGTTTACTTTGCTACTCAAAGGTGAGAATTTTTATTGAGACACTGGTCAATTCAGCTTCTCGAAATACAGGGTCCATGGGACAATCACATGGTGTGGGTGCTAACCAATGTTGGATGAGCTATTTTTTATTCCATTTTTAAGTACGCGAATGAACTAGAACTTATTGGTATGACGAATCTGTTGTAACTGGTTTGTTTGTATTACTCGTCAGCAAGTGGCAGGCATTCAAATTGGCAACGCTTTCTGGTTTTGCAGAGCCACTTGGTGTCGTAATTGTCGGTAAGAGGACTGCCTTTTCTTAAAGTACCACGAAAAGATTAAAAAAATGTTAAAATAATAAATGTAAAACATAAAATCTAAGAAGGTTTTCTTCTGAATGAGTTTAATGTTTATATTTGGTCTGAATATAACCTATACTGTCGTAGTTCACAGGGAATTCAGAGCTTATTTGCTTTCAAGATTATCTTTTCTATCGATGTCAGATTATATGACCTTGTTTATTTGTCTTTTTCTTGTACCACAGCGTATCTGTTTCCGAGCAACTTAAGCCCTGAAATTCTTGAGGGCTTGTTAGGATCAGGTTTGTAGTACTGTTGATCACTCGTATTGGATCTGATTCTAGAAAAAGAATCTAGTTTCCCATGCTCTATGTTATCATCTAGTGAAAATCTCTTACTCTAAATCTATGTCAAAATTTCAGTTGGTGGGGTGATGGCCTTCCTAACATTACACGAAATGCTGCCATTGGCATTCGATTACGCGGGGCAGAAACAAGCTGTCAAGGCTGTTTTCTTCGGAATGGCATTCATGTCTGCAAGGTAATAAAATTTAAGGTCTGTTTGTTTGCCGTAAAATGAATTACGGAATTGGTTTTCCCCGAAATCTCGTGTTTGTTTCATGTAATTCGTTTTTTGGAAAAAGTTTTCTCGTGTTTGTTTCACGTAATTCGTTTTTCGGAAAATGTTTTCCAGTGTTTGGTTGGAGGAAAACTGGTTGGTCAACGTAATTCATTTTCCTGTTCAACAGAATTTACGGTTTGATTTTCTATAAGTCATTTTCCGAACTTTTCACTTCAAAGAATAAATACACAAAATAATTTTATTTTTATGAATTTAATATTAATAAAATATTTAAAATATATTTATTAATATTTATAATAATATAATATTATATTTTTATTTTAATAAATATATAATAAATTTTTTATATATTTAATAATAAATAATATTATTTATATATTTAATATTTATAAAATAATCTAATAATATTTTAATAAAGATATTTAAAATATACTAATTAATATTTTTAAAATATAATATAACACTATTACTTTAATAAATAAATAAATAATATAATTTATAATATTTTTATTTCACTAAAATATACCAATATTAATATTTTTATTAATAAAATTATAAAAATAATATTTAATAATAAATAAATTATTTTAATATTTTAAAATAATAATATTAAGTTTTATGATAAATAATATTATTTATTGAATTTAATATTTGTAATAAATAATTTTTAAAAAACTCATCAACTAATGAAAAAAAATGTTTAAATAACATCTTCCAAACATCATAAAACGTTTTTCAAATGTTTTTCAAAAAAATGTAATTCATTTTACGAAAAACATTTTCCAGAAATGTAATTATTTTTTCAGATTTTAAATTCTAGTATTTCATTTTACAGTAATTCATTTTTCCGAAAATCAATTACAACCAAACAAACAGACCCTTATAGCAAAATAGTTTATTGTTTCCAAAACGGGTTCAAACGTTTCTAAACTTCGTTAAGCTCATATAGACATATGTAGTTCGATCATCATTATCACATCGAATGGTTAATGATGCACAAAGCATGTCTTTGAACTCATGTAGGAAAAACAACGTTTAGCAGAATTATGTTTTCCGGTTAGTTTTGAACTTTAACATTATCTCTTCTACGGTTTTCGTGCAGCCTGTACTTTCTCGAACTAAGCTTACCCAAGGAGTTGAACTTGTAGCCTGTTTCCATGAAGCTTTAAACAAAATTGTTGTAAAATTCCGAAACCAATGTCTTGTTATGCATACTGATATTGATTGCTTTCTGCGATCTTGTAGCCACTCTGGAAGATCTTATAATACCCCAAAATTGCAATGTAGATAATATCAATTTGTTCCTTTTAACAATTGAAATGAAAATAAATAAATAAAATAGATTTGTCCATCGGTCGGATTACTTTTTATCCCGGTAAGCTCGGCTTGAACTAGCGCAGAACTAGATTAAGGTTTCTGTAATCCAAGGTTGGTCATTGTTTGGTTTTAATCGAATTAATAGATCAAATTAAAATTTAATTTGGTTAATCGATTGGATAATTAGATGATTTAACAATTAAGAATTTTTTTTAAAGTTTGATTAATTCAATTTTAGATTGGTTAATTGATCAAAGTAATCGAAAATATTAAATATCTGATATGTTATATATATTATATCAATGTTTTTCAAAAAAAATTAATTTGATTTAGATTTAGTTAAATCACTAATCGAATTAACGGATTGAATAGCTCTAGTTAAATCTACCACAATTCCGGGCATGCTTTGTATAAAAATTGAAAATGTTGATAATATGTAGATAGTCATGCTTATAAAAATTTTCAAATCCATTTATAGTATTTATTATTATTTTGGCAAATAAGGGAGTGGAGAAGGCAAAGGTTTTTTTTTATTTAGGGTGGCCAAGGGCAAAGTGAAGCCTCTTGGAAAACCTATCATTAAAAGCATATTCAAGGCGCAAAAGGCCGAAAGGCGAGTCCATTCGGACACCAATTCCAATTCCATATCCACTCCCACGTTTATTCCTCGCCCCCGCCGGATTCCCTACAAACACACCAAACATTCAATATAACCGGAACATTTTATCATCATAACTTCTCTAATCTGTCTTTTTTCTGACCGAAACATGAAAGAAAAATGGACCGGAACATATAGCTTACCGGGCACAGTGGGGCCTGAGCATAGATCGTGTCCATAATCGGAAAAAAGAACTCCTTGCACAGGCCCCAGCTACACGAGCAGATAAATCGAATGAATATAAATTAAGCCGTGTAAAGCTCAAAACCGAGTAGAATCAAGGTGGAATTTGGGAAGGTATAAAACACAACCATGCAGAATTGTTAAACACCTACCAACTTTAAAGAAACTTCACTGGTGCCAACTACGTATGATCTACCGGAGCCTACGGCACCTTCTTTGTAACCTCTCACGGTGTTTGTTCCCCCAATGGCAAATGCTTCATGAGGAGGAAAATTACCCACCACATGCCCACCGGACAATCTATTAAACAAAAACCGGCAGTAGTCAGCAAACTATGATAATCTCTCCCGCTTTCTCTCCTCGATAATTTTATTTTTCAAGGAGAAATATCAAAGCTCGGGATCAAACCCGGAAGACAAGTTATCACATGTCGCAAGCACAAAAATACATGATATGCTATAAGCATAATACCTTAGAAGAAGGCGAGCAGGACCGAGTTTAACACCTTTACTCGCACGAGCATTCACTCTGTTGAAGTACAACCAGTTGGTCCTGACCGGAAGCCCTTGTTCCATGTTTATTGTAAACTGCAAAGGTAACAGAAATGAGACCCATCCATATATCAAGAGATGGAAAAGCACTGGGTGCAGACGCTAATCATGGACGATCCTTTGTTACCGGAACCAGTATAGATGCTCTCGAATTTGACCAGTAACATATCGTCATACGGCTTACCACTACATTAAGAAAAGAGGATTTCATAGAAGATGAGAAACAAACTAAACCATAGAAAGTATTAACAACAGCAAATTAATGCAGAGTGATCCATCTTACAGAAGCTACACAACAAGCATCAAAGGTACAAACCTTGCTGTAAGTGGGCTGCCATAGAAGTCTTTAGTAATTGGGTTTCCTTTTTCGTCACAAGCACCGGCACGCTAAAATATTATGATCAAATATTAAAAACAAATCATATTACTGATAAGCCTTAATCCTCCCAAAAAAGAATATCAATTCGGAATGAAAACTAAATTTAAGACACTACTTTTCACAAACTTTGTTTTGAAGAAAACTGAAAATGGATGCCTAGCTGACAAGAAAAAGAATGCTATCAAATAAAGTAACATGCTGTACCTGAAAAAAGAGCCCAGCCGTTCCACTCGATTTGGGCCTGAGTGGTCGACTAAACTCTACACAGGCTGTTATACGGCCAATGCTCAGACTGCTATTATCTTGTTGGCTACCATGAACAAGTGTCCCAGAGGTTCTTGAGTTCTAACAAAAGCAAAATAGCTCAGATGATAATCGACCTTCAATCACACAAAATGCAAATTCAAAACCCACCTGGACAGTTATTGTTCTAGATGTTCGCTTGTCATTTCCTTCAATCCATGGGTCTGTGTAGTTAATGCGGAATGTAGAGTCAATTTGGCCTTTCTCTAAGGAAACATTAAGCTTTTGGTTTTTCCCAAGCAAATTTCTCTCGGAGTAGGCAAAACTGTAAATGGAAAATAACATAGTATGAGACAAGCTAAACAGCATATCACATGGGATGACAATTTGGGGAATTAAGAAAAGCTGAAAGTTCACGGTGACAAAACTAGACCATATATGCCCAGTAACATATCTGAAAGCATGCTCCGAGAAACAATAATAGAACAAGAAACTAAGATGATGAAAATAAATAAATGGAATGAAAAAGTATCTAATAATCATTGGGAATACGATTTTCTCCTTCAGTACTATCTACTATGCAAATAATGGCTTGACAAGAGAAAAGAAACCACTGTCCACAAGGCTGACAACCAAAGGAAATGACCACAGATACTCATGACCAATGTGATATTACCTTCCAAAGAGTCCTGATAAAGGGTCACTTGTGATCCTACAAAATAAAAAAATTGCTTGATAAATGCTCATTTAGCAACTCCACGGTATAATAAGCATGAAATTTGGTAACTAAATTAGGTGAGAGTAGAAGCTAGTGCATGTAGTATTGCAATTCAACTGGTCTTACCCACTTGATATTCCAGCACCAGCAGAAAAACGACCAGTTGGACGTTCAACAACATTCATTGTTAAATCAACCTTGCCATCTACAATGTTGCACAATCAGAACAATAATGGACAAGTAAATACAAAGAAAAATGCACAAAATATTAACATGATTAATATTTGTCCATAACAATATGGCTAAGTTTAGGGTAATGCTGAGGATCTCATCCTAAAAACAATTATTGCGTACATAATATTTACAGATAATCTTAGTACATAATAATATTTCATAACAAAATTCCATAGAGGCATAGACTATTTGTTATAGCATTATCAAGTGTCTGAAATTCAGCTTCAAATAAGGTAATGTCCTCAGCATGAAACATTGACTAAAAACTCAGAATGAGATTGCACATCAAATACATTTTCCAGGAATTAGCTTAAACATTTTGTCAGCCAGCTAAGTGTGCCTCTTAATACAACTTGCAGTATTTGTATGCATGTGTTTTTAAAAGACATCCTCACTCACCTCCAGCTGGTCGAGGAAGGATACTGACATCTCCCAGCCCCATAATTGACACAGTATTCACATCCCTTTTTCCTTGAATCATACTATACTCCTGTAGGATTATAATTCATATGAAGCAATGCAAGCTAGTCAGGAAAAATTATGCTTTCCATGGCCATACTCTAGGTTCAGAATAGACAATTTATGATGACTTATCATCAATTAAATGCCAATTTATGCACAAATAGCTAGATCTAGAGTCACACCTGCCCCTTCTTGGTTGTGAGTTGCCTAAGAATTGTATCAGGCTTTGTCTTTCCCTTAGTTGGTTCACCACTGAGACAAAACCGAAGCATTTCTGTCATATATCCTAATACTAATAAATTGAAAAGTTTGACATGCATGTTTGTGAAAGCACCTATTTACGTAAATAAACATCCAAGTGCGGGAAAAGCAAACGAAGGCAGGCTCTTACGTCTTTCGATCAAGGAAACGTACGTATATATCATTGACCTCTGCTTCTGCAACTTTTAACCTAATAATACCTCCAGAAAACATATCAACTCCGGAAACCTATAAGGTCAACAAACAGTTTTTTTAACATGATTATATTCAAAGATCAACTAAGAAAACATTTGCATCACCAGATCAAAGAATGCAAAGCACTAACCAAACCAAAAAGACCACGGTCCATATACCATCCATTGATGGAACTAATTACTTCATCTAAGCTCTTGAGATTTATCACTTTTCCTGCTCAACTTGATACCATAAGTGAAAATAATGAAGGTCTACTATGACCAAAATTAGAAAGCAGTTCATCAATAGGATAATATAAAACATATGTACATCCAGCAATGCAGAGGGAAAACCTACCATGCCAATCACGAAAAGCGTCCTCAAGAAACTTTGATGGCAGAACATTGGCTCCTTCACAGACCAACGCATGGAAGTCTTGGTTTGGTTCAACCTTAAACCACAAGAACCCAATTTTATTAAAATCAGTTCTATCCATGACTAAGATATAGGCTTGTATTGCTCAAAAACAGGAACAATTTGACAATGAAAATAAACTATCACACATGTGAAAGACCAACCAAAACGAACATTGCTCCTTTTCCATGCGGTATCTCATTGTATGAAGTTTTCCTAACAACACTCTTCATGTGCTCTGATTTTCTGAAGACAGACGCCCAGGGATTTAAATTGTGGTGACGGCCGCGATTTCAGTTGTGTTGCATTTGCGGCGAATGTGGACATAACATATACTATTATGGTCACAGCAGGTATAGCGGTCATTATTTTTTTTAAATGCACAATTTATTGTAAAACATAATAATTTTAATTGCCGCAACGGGCTGATGGATTTTTTTTTAATTTTACTATGACGGAACAATAACGGGAATATCGGCCCTTATTGCCGCTATTGACCCTTACCCATTAAATTGCAGTCGTGATCCACAGCTTTTGTGTGATTTTGCAGCAATTTAAGTCCGCAAGCTATTTAAATCCAGCAGACGAAACAAAGGCAGAAGGAAGGGAACACAATGCAGGTAATTCAACTGATACAGATGTTTTCTACTTCAATAGAAAAGTAGCTAAGAATGAACTTCAAACACTCAAAAGCTCTAATTAAAACGAAATAGCTTAAGATAACATACTTG